CAATAGTGTACTGTGCTCGAGTGGAGGGAATGTAAAAAGCGGTAACGGATATTGCTTACGCTGCGCCTTCTCCGAATGCGGCCCAAATCTCTATGCCATTATTTACCTCAGGAAATATTAAGTATACGCAGTGCACGCAATGATTGCAGCGCAGTTAAATTAGCCATCCTTCTATCTTGTGGACAATCACTGCACTGAGCGTTGCATAAGAGCGACTCCTTTAAATGCAAATAAAGCGGAATTTTTTCACATTTTGGGCCACTTGCCATATGCCATTTGTTACTCACTATTTGCCATTTGTTATGCCATTTCTGCTGTATTTATGAGCCTGTTTGGAAAGCGAAAAACAAATGGCCATAAATCAAGTGTCATATTCCGGCCACAGACAATGTTCCACCATGTAAGCGGCAGACAAGCTAACAAAAATACCACAAAAAACGGCAAACGGTTAGTGAGAGGAAGCGACCCCTCTTAAATACAATAAAGGCAATGCAAATTGTATCTATTTAATTAAAAGCCTCGAAATTCATTTAAAAGTCGCATCATTGGGCATTTGGCATTGGAGTTCACTCACATCACGTATACGACATGTATCCACATGCACATTTGCAGAGCCAGACCCGAGCCAGAAAGCGAACGGGAGCGACAGCGCGTGTAAGATTTTAATTACAGACCGTCGCGCCATTAAACGCTTTTAATGGCACTTCTTTGCGAACAATTTTATTGCCAGAGGAATCTCATGCACTTTCACTTCACAGCAGTGCGAGCAGCACCAACAAGGATCAGACAGATAGTAGAATCGGCACCGCACCCGTTGAATTAATCTTTGTACATGTGACCAGAGTAGACGATGGCCAAGTGATATCGCAAATTGCTACTTAAAAAACTAAAATTTCGGATTTTTTATTAAGTTTTCTCTTTTTATGTGTACATTTTGGGTATATTTAGTAATGCCCAAACGCCACTCTATGCCTTAATTGTTTTTCAATTGAGATATGTATTTCGTTTTTGCTTTGCTTCTGCACCTGGCATTCACAAAGAGACTCAGCGGCAAATTCCTCAACAATATAAATAAATCAGATAGAGAATTTCGTCTAAAATGAGGAAAATGTTTATGGATAAGCAAAGTTTATTGAGCAAAATCCGCAATCTCTTCATATACGATTTTGTTTTCTATTTTTGGAGCTGGTTTGCTTTGTTGCCAAGATTCGAATGAACATTCTTTAAATGGCTTAATTGGCTTTAGTCATGTGCTCACCGCTGTCGACTGGGCCGATTAGGAGTCTGCATTTTACTCTCAGCTTTATGCATGCATTGCATTTACTTGTTTTTTATGCTTCATCGCACCCTCCTTGACGTATTGTGAATAGTTTTCGAACTGCATGTCGGCATATCGTCTTCGAATTAGCAACCATGGCATCAGGGCCCATTGAGCCCTTTAAATGGCACTTTAATTTTAACGAGCCCTTAATGTGTCTTTAATTAGTAAGGCCGCTCGGCAGGCGCCTCTGGGTTGATTGAATGTTTGCCCTTCAAATTGAGATTAATGGCTGCAAGTGGGAGGGAGGAGCCGGACCGGAAAAGAAGCTTCCATTCCCATAACATGAACGATGGAAGCTCGGGTCGGAAAGATGTACACACCCCCGTTTCCGGTCCGCCAACCTTGTTTTGTCTCTTGTTCAGCTCGAGGTCTGCCTGTCCGCCCCTCTAACGGAGCTCTTTTGTTGCTTAGTCGATGCCAAAATGCAATATTAATCATGTCGAGGGCCTACCTGGCACGATTCCGGCTGATTTCCCCCAGCACAGTCCACAGGACAGTCAATTCAATTAGCAGCTAATGAAGTAATTTCATCAGGTCGCCAATTAATTTATTTTATTCTTAAGCCATTACACGGCGCCTCAACAGGTTTGTGGTCATAAAAATGTCACTGCAGCAAATGGGAGCCAAGGCGATACAAATTCCCACGCAGCATTCCATGTGACTCTGACTGCCATTACAGATGGGCCAGAGCAGACGTCAACACTTGAACGTAGCAAGGGAGCAAGGCGAATGAACAATATTCTTTCGGTCCGAGATTTGCGGGAGGCTCATGAGACTACGATTTTATGACGTTTCGGGAGCATCGCAATTATTTTTTATTGACCGAACAGCCATTGAGTGCTGGGTGCATATGAACGGCAATAAGAAACAGAAATACTCGTACATTTCGGCAGCATAGCCGATTTTCATTGACAGTCTGTTGACCATATATTCGGATGCTATACAAATTGAAAATGTTACTCAAAATTTCGAAAGAAAACGTGTGTAAATATTTAAACTTGTTTTAAATTTAATTAAGCCCCTCCGGCTTTCTTTTCAAGTGAAATGGAGAGCATAAATATTTCGAATTATAAATTGGGAAGAGTTTAGCTTAAAGTTGCTTTCATTTTGATTACAAATGACTCGATTGTGCTCGTTTGGTAGTCAAGGCTAAATATGTCTGCCTTGCCCAGGGCCAACTAATCGTACGGATGCTCGGAGTTCTCGTATCTGTGGATGAGTGGGGCAGAGTGGGAAACTTTATGGCACACAGGGGCATAGACAAAGACTCGAATTAGATGGCGTGCACTGGAAGCCGGCTCCGACACCGACTCCCATCTCTGGTGTGGCCCCGCCTAGATGCCAATTTAAACGCCTGCAGCTGTTACATCTCTAGAAGTTGGTCGTCTGCCTGATTCGGCCTGATATTCATTATCTTGTCTCTATTGCACTAATAGTGGGAGCTGTCCCGCCAGACTAGTCATTTCGCTGACCTTGGCCTATGACTGAGCCTGTGCACAGTCTCTTAAAGAGTTTACGAGACTAGCAGGTTACTTTAAATTGTAGTTGTGCACGCCTCCTGAACCATCCAGAAATAGACGAGCGAAATCAAATCGAAACCAAATCGAAATATTCGAACATAAAGATAAATCGTCGTCATGGAAGCTTTAGATTATTGGAGCACCCGCCTTGGCACTTGGCTGCTACAAAAAATCTGTAATTTGCAGTGCAAATGCTGGCGATAACTCAGCGAGGCCAAATCGGAATTTATGCGCTCCGCTGGGATGTCGTCATCATTTTTGCCTATTGGATACGCGCCATTTGAGTGATTCTGATTGACTTTCGAGCGCCGTCCCTGTCCCTCCTCTTTCCCCTCCCCCAAAGAGAGCCGCCATCTGATCTGTGCCCAATGTTATCAATTCCAGCCGAAAACAATTTCTGACAATATCCTGTTTACGTCATTGCTTATGCCCAAAGCTGGTCGGTATGGTCTCGTAGGGAACTGTCCGCAACTGTTCTGATGTCCTTCTGCAGCCCACAAAGCATAAACACTTTGGGCCATATAAAATCGGGCATAAAAGTGCCCATAAAAGCCCACAGCAAGGGAATTAAGCGAACACTGGTGCGTTCTTAGTTGTTTCCGTTTCCGCAATTTCATTGGAATCTCAGCTCGGGAGTATGAAACGAAATGGTTTCCTCGTGTTGGATATAATACTTTCTATGGTTGTAATAATACAAAATCTATACAAAAGGACAAAGTTGGTGTTCAAGGTCGCACATTAATCCATGGGAGGGTATAGGAGTAGTTCCATGCGGAACTAATCAATATAAGACGAGATTAACCAATTCAATCAAAATGTATATTTGCAAATTGATTACATTACAAGCGCAATGGATTCTTGGGTTTTATTCGCAACATTCCATCATAATGTGGCTGTCTTCGAAAGAAAAAAACCCCAGGTCATATACATAAGATACATAAGATAATCATCGTATTCCCAAAAAAAATTAAATTTAATTAAAATTTATGTTTGTTATACAGCAAAACAATGATTTAATTATCTTCAATGTCCACTTAACCTTTCATTTTGCATCTGTATAAGAAGACATTTATGATTGTCCTGGTTGCCTGCCAACTGGCAGTTCGAAGTTCGGATAACTTCCTTTTGAAGGGTGGTCCCACAGCCGTCAACAAAAGAAACTATCTCGTGTGACTTGGGACTTTTTTCAGGATGAAACACGTGAAGTTGCCTATAAAACTTTTCTCGAAGCGTGCTGACGTTGAATTTATGACCTTGATCTGATCAAAAATCTAGTTTGAAATAATAGTTTCTTAATTTTTTCAATTGGTTTTGTGCCAAAGAGTTAATAGAGCTTCAAAGCTGAGCTCGAACTTTGCTAAAAATATTGGGAAAACCGGAAATCCCCCTTTTCAAGTATATTGTAAAATAGTTACATAATATTTTAGCCAAAGTTTTAAAAAGGGTTTTTTTTACTCCACACTACACACTTCGCTGGGTTAGGTTGCCCTAACTTTATAACCCAACAAATGAGGTAGGGGGAATTATATAAAAATAACGCTTTACTATGGCAAACCATTTTTTCGCAGCAGTGTGAACTATTTCTATTGAGTGGGAGAATGGACATCAGGAACATGTTTGAGCCTAAATCCGTCCCAAGGAGCAAGTCATTCAATGCTTCCGGTGGTATCTCAATTTCAGATAGTTCGACTTTTCCACATGTGCAACACATATCAGCTGATTAACGTTTAAATTTTAGCGTACAATTTCATCAATCAGCACTTTCGGATGAGCGAAATGTTTAATATTTCGCTCGTAATCGAATGGGGATCAAGAAACGAAGCGAGTTTAAATGCTCGATTTGCAGGGTGTCGCTGTCTGTTATTTTCTCTGTGTCGATTGTATTTGTTGCTCATTGTATTGTATTGCACGATTGTATCTCGTGCCTCTTTTAATTGAGATGCTCATATGCACATTTTCATTATCTTGTTGGATGCGTTCGTCTGGGCTTTCTGCTCGTCTATTTCGCATCTTTCCACAGCCAAAAATTGGCTACCTTAAACTACAACACTCTGACACGAGATTTTTATGGATTGGATAATATCGTATTATAGTCAGGTGTGTGTTATAGTTTTGAAGGGACTTTCTTCTCTGAAAACTGAAAATAAAACATAAATCAATTCAGTGCAACAAAAAAATCATTTTATTTATTATGAGTTCCAAGATTGTGTTCGAGTGTCTGCTATCGAGCTTCCAAATGGGTGGTCAATGGTCAACCGCTTGACGCGGTTTTGGCTGTTGTGGCCCATGGGCAGAATGGAGACCGCAACAAGCAAGCAATGATCAAAAAGGTGGCCTCAGTAGCAGGGGCGCTCAATAGCATGAGCAAAGCCACCACCAAGATGGCCATCAGGAAAGTTGAAGACTGCATGATGTATTGTTGCTTGAACTAATTACTGAACTAATACTCGATACGAAGGGGCTCCTATTTATACGAGCTCCCAGAGAGTTCTGTAGCGCTGTCCAATGTTACGTAAAGCCGGAATCATAAGTCGTTGGGCAGTGCGCAAATGTTTGCTTAGGTGCAACTTGCCTAAGCAGCTAAATATTTGTTGTGTGGTCCGCGTGGGAGATCATAATTATCATTATGGCCATTCATCTTTTATTACTAGTAGTTATTTACACTAGTCCGTCAGCCGTCGAGTGTTACAGGGGCATGAATGGATGACGGGTTGGCTCGTCATAGCTGTGATCTCGGTCTGGGGTACACGTGCCTCGGGCTAGGGTTTGTCCAAACAAATACAAACAACAACATGCAAAGTAGATTGGTACTGCTCTTAAAGTACCGGAGGGATAGCACCATTCATCTACAAAATCGGCTGGGAAACCAACCAAACCTTCTCAGGACGAAGAGGGCGAGGAGACTCGGTCAGTGGAGAGACCGTCTTCAGACAGCAACTGCAGCGGGGGTGCACCCGAAAATTGTCTTCCAATAAGACCACAAACTGAGGATGTGCTCCACATGCATGGGTCCTGATCAACCTGACATTCCTCCGAACGGCTTTTGTGACTGCATCTCATGGCGAGCATTCCGTCAAGTCTAATCTCTGACTCTCTGCATACCTGTGACGTCTGCACTAGTTGTCAGGACGAGGAAGAGTAGGAATCGGTCCCCTACTTCTTCTGCCACTGCCCGGCCCTGGGAAACCGTAGACTTCGGCTTCTTAGGGCCGCTTAACTTTTCTTAAAGGACATACATTGGTCAAATTTTAGATTTTTATATTGATTTGATTCAATGGATTTGTATCATACAAATCGAAAATAATATTACATTTTTACCACTAGACCGCATTTATTGTAATTAAAGAACAATGCTCTTCTATGTAAGAAGAGTTATCCATAAGTAGTCCCAAGAAACCACCCGCAGTAACTATATATTTATCACTTCCGTGGGATAATAATAAAATACCCAATTCACTCAGGTTTTAAGAAATAAAGTCAGTTTCCATTTTTAGCTCAATACATGTTGAATACCTGTAAAGGTTCGTTTTCGGTGGCACGTTTCTAATCAACGATGGGATCTGGCGGCGAGCACTTTTTACTATAGTCAGTAAAGAACTTCCACGCATCCCTTAATTGGCGTCCCTTCAGCTGATGATGAATTATCATTGCCTTGAACGAGCAGAACCTAGTTGTGCGTAGAATGGTGAATAGCGAACTATGCCTGGGCTTCAGGTGAGCCTGCTGGGCACAGAGTCCAGTGACATAAATGTCCTCTAAGTAAACCATTTTGGTAGACCAGGCAGCTTCGTACAGGCGCTGCACCGCATCTATGGAGAGAAGGTAGCCGCCCCCCGAAAGATACTCTGGATATGTGCTGTGTGGATACATGTAGTAGGGCATGTACCACTTGCTGTTGACATTGTTAAGGGGTTGGGAATTAGTGAACTTATTCCCTAGCATCACTCCATTGGTGGCTCTCAAGCTGGACTGCCACCTTGACGTATACAATATGCTATCGTTATATAGCGGTACAGTGCCACCTAGGATAAATTGCAGCAAATTGGGAACATTAACAAATGTGTCGTCGTCGCACTTAAAGAAATAAGCTGTGCTCTTGGAGCAACTGTTGTTGACGTGCTTTAGAGCCAGCACGGACTTCAGCGTCAGATTGTTGTAGGTGTCTATAAAGTCCTCCTGGAGGATGTCGTTGTATCGGTATGCCTCCTCCCAGACCTGAACTAGAGATTCGTTGTCGCGTGGGGAGCTATTCTTGCTACGGCCAAGGATAAACACGACTTGCACAGAGGCCGTTAGAGTCTCGCCCTCACCACTGAGGAAGTCCGAGTAGAGGCGCAATCGGCTCTCCATGGGCGGACGGTAAGATCCCTTCAGGTGGCTATGCAGCTTGGCAAAGACTGGATAGTTAAAGTGTGAGGTGTTACCCCAGGTCTCCCGAATGTCCTGGCGTTGGTCATAGCCGTTTACGCTCGACGCCACGACAATTAGTAAAAGAGTTTTGCTCTTACAAAAGCCACGAGGCACAATTAGAGCAGTATCGTCCAATGGGCTGATGTAGTCACTCAGGTTGAGGGACGTGCCAATAGTCCAGTCCGAAAGAGGCGCTGAAAAGCAGAGGTTAACCCACTTTGAATAGGAAATAGGTACACATGTTTATACTGTACTATTGCGCTTGATTAAGTCCTGATAATTGATAAACTGGTAAACGTGGTACATCGTGTAGAGGAGAAGCGCTATCAGGATGCAAAGGAACCCACGAAATAAAATTATTGGGGCTGCTCTTTGGCATTGTGTAAGCTTCCACTTGACAGCAGAATAGTTTAAGTTAACTTTTCCTGGGTACATGACAGACGGAGGTTGCAGTGTACACCTATACGCTGCTTCTTAAGCCAACTGAAGAGGATAGAAGCTGGCCTGGATACGCGCTTCGCTGGAAAGATTCAACCAATTTTATTATTTGTCTAATACTACCCTTTACGATACAGTCAAGTGAGTATATGCAATTCATAAAGGCATAACCGTTTACCCTTGGGTTCAATACGAAATTGTTAAGATTATCCAAAGTCGCAACCTTTTTGTATCAATTCAAGCCAGGCCCGTCTAATGCACAGACTGGTCTTAATGATATATTTTTTAGCGTTAAAAAATATAGTAAATAATTCTAAATTGGATTGTGAACGGAAGTCCACGCTGGTGATGGACGCTATATCCTGAGTGTCACATTCATATACACGAGATCAATATACCCTGGTCCTCTTTGAGTACCTCTTGAATCATATGAATATCACAATTGTTTAACCATGTGGCCAGCCTATTTGCAAATTAAATACAATTGTTTTGATTAGACCATCCAAGCTATATTTTAGTGTAAATATTGTTTGTCATTTGGTTAGTCTCCTCTAGAAGATCTTAGTGCAAAGTGTCGATCACCGTAGTGAAACGGAAGAACACCGTTTAGCTCCCAAAGTTCTTGCCATATTCGTTGTCTGCAATTTTTTAAAGATTGAAATGTGGATGAAGTACACGTACTCTAATTTTGATAAATGGTTAACAGATAGGGCTATCTCCTTAATCTGGAAGTTTTGCTAACAGTCTTGTCCTTTGTTTGTAAAAAAACTATTTAAAAATAGGAATAATTTCCGACCTAATACTGTATATATTATATATACACATATTTTAAATCAGGATGGCAATCCCTCTGTATATTTCTATGGAAGCTATCTGAACGACATTTGTCCAATTAACTTTTTGCAGGAATCATTTCATAAATGTACATAAATTCCTGGATACTAGCATGGGGCTGGATAGGTTACCATTGAATCAGGCATTCAGCCCATTCCACAACAAAGAAAAGCAATGCAGAATTTTGTATCTATTAGTTTCTTCAAAATATCATACGTATTCACAATTCTTCATTCACATTTGAAAAGCACTTGCTGCTTTAGTTGGCTACGAGTAAGACTATGTTCAATTCCATTGGTAGTTTTTACATTATTGTATTTTACAGAGGGGTAAAGCAATGCGAATCAATTGATACTATTGGTAACCGTAGACTGTTCCGCGTAGTTGGCCAACCACTCGCCCAATTGATCCTTGTTCAGTGCCAGCCACTTGATATTGGCCTTGACGGTTTCCAGGGCCTGTTGGCGGGCCACGGTTCCAGCTCCCGCTTCAGGATACTTCTCGAAGAAGTGCTGCATCTCTTCCAGCTTGGTTTGAGTGTAGAAGCGCGCCGTGATGGTCGGAATAAGGCGACCCAATGTTCGCTCGTTAATGCCAAAGCGCTCTACCAGCTGCTCCCAGTTCTCGCGCACATAATCCCAGACAAGACTCTGTCCCACGGGATTAACCGAAATATAACCCAGAAGCGTGAAATAGTCCTGGCGGCGGACGTTGCTTTCGTCCGAGGCCAGATTGATGTAGCGCTGCAACAGCCATGGCACCTTTACGGCAGCCAAGGCGTTCATAAGCCTTAGCTTCTCCTGCGCATCGGTCTCGGCCAGATACAGTTTCCAGACCTGGTCCCAGGCAGCTTCGGTGTTGACCTGCTGGAGACCGTAGTAGTACACGACATCCCGGATATCAGGACTGGGGCGTGTTTCAGGAGTGGCCAACCACTGGTTGAACAGCGTAACAGCCTGCTGCAGCGAGCTCTCGTGCCCGACGGCGCAGGCAGAGCTTAGAACCTTGATGCGGAGGCGGCTGTAAAATATACCAATGTCAATAACATAAACTAACCCAGCTTTACGTGTGCAGTTGCTTACTTTTCCAGATGATCTGTGCCAACGGTAAACGTGACCGTCTCCACAATGGGCGTTAGTAGTTTGCGGGCGTATGTGGTGAAGTTGCTGTAAAGATCGGTGTAGTAAACGCGGTTCCGCAGCGTTACTAGCGACGAGGTGCCAACACTCCAGGGCACATAGTCCTGCTCGCTCTCCAGATAGGTGCTCAGGTCGAGCGCCACGGCATAGTTCAACTGTCCAGCAGCGGCCAGGGTATTGGCATCGTTCAGTAAATGCGCACGATCCGCGGTGCTGAAGGATTCCCGTGATGCCTTGAGCGCAGCTGTGAGGGCAGCCCACTGCTCTGCCGCATAGTTAACGCGATAATAACCAACCTGGTCCTTATTAAACTTGATCCAGCTGGCCTCGCTAGCTAGCGTAATGCTGGCCTCGTTGTCGTTGTGGTTGAATATCGTCGACTGCACCTCGCTGTTGATGCTGCTCGTGTAGGTGATTGGGATTGACCAACGATAACTGTAAACGGCAACAAACGATCGTTTGATTCAATAAGGCAATAGTGAGTGAGGCTTAACGTACTTGAAAGAAGAGGCCTCTGCTTCGACTTCATAATCATCCAAATTGGCCAAGAAACGCTTCTGGGTTAGCTTGTAGGTGTTACCATTCTTCTCCACCTCGACAACTGGCACCCCCATTTGTTCTGTCCACGTTTCCATGATCTGCCTGTGAGTGAGAACGAATTAGTGGATGCGTCCGCACAAACAACAGAAGATAGAGGCACTTACTTGACATCAAATTCGAGGCCCTCTTCCTCCTCAATGGCGGTTAGGAAATCTTCCGTGGTGGCTGTGGAGTAGATGTTGTTCTTCAGATAGCGAGTTGTACCGTTCTTGAACTTGGTCTCGCCCACAAGGTTCTCCAGCATGCGCACCAAGGCTGCACCTTTTGAGTAAGTAATTGTATCGAAGTATTCGGTAATCTCAGCGGGGCTTGCAATTGACTTCACAATTGGATGGGAGGCCAGTGTGGCATCGATGACAAGCACTGGATGGAGCTCCTCGACGACAAACTGATTGTCCATATCCCACTCTGGATGCATGTGCTTCGTTCCCTTGTATTCCACGAATGAGGCAAAGCCCTCGTTCAGCCAAAGGTCACTCCACCAGTTCATAGTGACCAGGTTGCCGAACCACTGGTGCGCCAGCTCGTGCGCCACGACGATGGCCACACGTTGCTTGTTCACACTGGAGCTGGTGGCCTCATCATACAACAACGCTGTCTCGCGGAAGGTCACCAGACCCCAGTTCTCCATAGCCCCGGATACAAAATCGGGAATGGCGACCAAATCCAGCTTGGGAAGGGGATAGGAGATGTTGAAGTAGTCGATGTAATAGTCGAGGACGCCAACTCCAATGTCAAGAGCATATTGAGTCTTCTCCACTTGGGCTGCTGGGGCGAATGAGCGCACTTCAATCGAAGGGTTTACTGCTGAGTTTGTGGTCTTGTGGGCAAAGTCCGAAACCACGAACGCAGCCAGATATGTGCTCATGGGCACAGTCTCCTGGAACGTCACTTCAGTCAGATCCCCGTCGACATACTCGGTGGCCACAGGCATGTTCGAGAGTACGTGGTACTCATCGCCGCTGGGTCGAGCAATTGTTATGGTAAACTGGGCCTTCAGGGCTGGCTCATCGAAGCAGGGGAAGGCCCAGCGGGCATAGGTGGGCTCGAATTTGGTGCTGGCAATCCACCTGTAGGGAAAATGTAATGACTTTAGCAGAGCAATCATGGCAAAGACGTGCTTTAAGCATGGTAAGTAAATTGGGCGCATGCAAGGGAAGGTCGGGTGTTAGTAGCTTTGCTACCTGGTGCGATTCTTCAGCTTGTCCCAGTAGGAGCTCTGATAGAGGCCTGTGATGCGATCCGTCAACGAACCGTTGAAGTTCAGGCGCAGCGTATAGTTGCCCACGTCCAGGGGCTGCTCAAACTCTGTCACCCAGTACTCAAATTCGGGATAGGAGAACGTCAGGGCTGGGGCTATGCTCTTCAGCGGCGCTCCCGACTCGTCCAAATGCTGCACATCGACAGTGCTCACATTCATCTGCTTAATGTGCACGGGTATGAAGGCAATCGGCTCCAGTACCTCCAGGCTGATACTTATATTGCCCGTATAGTTCTTCTTGTTGAGATCTGGCCGCAGCTGCATAGTGTACTTGCTCGGCTTCAGCTCTTTTGGTAGCCGGTAGCCTAGTTTCTGCAACACCTTGCTTGCGGCTCTAACGGCGGGCGCGAGGGTGGCCATGGTGCGTGATTTGGTATTGGAAGGCACTTGAGTGGTGGGGGCACGAATATCTAATGTGAATATTCGCAATTTTTAGCAATTAATGAATCTATTTTCTAGTTGACTTTGATTGTTTTTGCCTTAATTTTAATTCCTCCACAAAAAAAAAAAACAAAAAAAAACGAACTTAACCCACTTAAGCCCCCTCTATTTAAATAGTTCAACTACTTAAAGTAAATGGCGGAAAATATTGACGATTGTAAATTTTTCTGGTAGAGTCATGCCATATTCCTCTGAACTTAAAAAAAAACCACGATATCTTTCATCTGAACTGCAATAAAATTATAAAATTAGCATTATTTTCGGTGGAAAATTAAAATATCCCCTTGGCTTGCAGTGGGTTAATCGTTCTCCATCAAGGATTGAAAACATATTCCGATTATGATATTCCGTCGAATATTACTAGCTATTTTCATCTCTCAGATGGCTCACATAATTTTATCCTATTGATGAAGACATTTTCTACAAGATTAGTTAGTTTTTAGTCCTTGCTTTTATTGTATTTTGACTAAAACACGGTTTACAAATTAATGTTGCCCGCAACGACCCGGTTCAAAGAGAACCTTACCCGATTAAAGTTCGGTTATCGATACTATCGACGGGATACAAGTGGGACGCACTAAATTGAAATTGTTTGAAAGTGAATGAGCAAGGACTTAAATGCAATCTATTGGAATAAATGATACATGTAAGTACCAATAAGAGGTCTGAAAATTTAAGCAGAGAGCATTCATCATCTCATCAATTTTATATCTTTACACGGTCCGAAAATATAGTTGGAAATTTAGGGTTTTAATAATTGCAAAAATACTATCTTCCTGGCACTTGACTATTTGAATTTTCAATGAAGGACCAACCTGACAAAACGCTCAGAATTGGTTTGGTGGACAGCAACTGATCACGGTCCACATAGACGGTGCGTATGGTCGCATTCAGGGCCGCCTGCGTGCTGTTCGCCGCCTGCTGCCTCTGGTGCTCGTCGGCTATGTTCTTGCCCACATAGACGAGTGCCCCCAGCAGGAAGCCGCACAGCACCAGGAGGAACACGCAGAAGGCGACCAGTGTGAGGATGGTGTTGCCCGGGGCCTTGTGGGGCCGGTTGGTGTCCTTGATGCGGTGGTTATCGTCTGTGGAGAGACTGCTGCGTGGGCGCACGTTTTTTGTTGCATACATTGCCGTTGACTGTTTGTTCTGGTGATTAAATTAAGCTCTCAACTAGACGCGTTCACACTGAGACGGTTGCCGAATGACTCGACTGGCTATTGTTGGCAAAAGAGGTAGATTTTAAATTTGAACTTGGTTTGATTTAAGACCGCACTATCGCAAAATGTCACTGTCAGAAGCTGTCTCGGAGCCCATTGGCTCTGTCTTAAATCACAATTTTAACTGTAGTTTTATCTCAAACCGAAGCTGCCAGCCTTCCCTGCTCCAATCCATTGTGTCATCGACAGGGGTAATTCGAGAGCGCAATAAACAGCCCAGACCGAATTACATACGTCGCCGTTACCATCATCACTTTTTATAATTTTCGAGCTACTTATAAACAAACCCGGGTATGTTTTCACAGCTTTTATGGCTGTGGCTCGGCTAGGTTACCAGGGGCAGGGGTATAGAGATAGAGAGATACAGAGAGTCGGCCATAATTTACTCCTCTCCGCGATTGAGCTTGCCTCAATTTTGTCTCGCTGCAGATCAATCAGATTACTGCCATTTCTGCCCCTCGCATGGTCACGTAATGAAGTTGGTCATTTCATGAAATTGTTACTTCAAATAGTTGGACCAACACGATTCCATGGCTCAGAGTTGGAGCTGGTTAACCGCAAAGTCGCATTACAAATCCCCCAGGTTGTTGCAATGATCCGTCCACCACAGGCCACTTTCTACAGGGGCGTTGGTGTGCGATTGATTGACGGATGCATGGCAAAGGTTGTTGGCATCTCTAAATACTCTCTGTACTCCGACTCCGATCTGTGGAGTTAGTGGCATGGGAAGAAGTTGCAGATGCAGATTATAAGCCGTAAAAATGAATTGAATTGGCCATAAGCCCATGAGACACGTCTCCACTGACAATTATGTCAGGATGCATCTGAGAGAACCATTCACCCGTAGGTGGATGTGGATGCGGCTGTGTTGTGCTCGTAATTTATGCAGTATTCATTTCAGAGTGCACCAAATTGTGCGAAATGAGGAATTCAAGTCTGTAGAATATGCTAATTTTCACCAGCTGCCAGGCAATTGTCTCTTGCCCGCCATCCCGACATCCCGCCCCATGCTATCCGATCAGGCCCATCATTTCATGGAGCCAGCGCCAGCCTCTGATGATGCAATGCAGCGACTCTGCCGCTGACTCAATTAAGGCGCGCACAAAGCAGCCGCGCCGCTCTGCCACAAAAACAGCAGTTGCATGACTACCTTATGAGCCAGCAGAAGACAATGGCAGCTGCGGAGTAGAAGTACCAGTACCAGTACCAATATCAGTGACTGCATAATCTGACACGCCTCATCGCATCAACGAGAATACATGAGCATCTCTGCTCTGCGCATTCTGAGGCTGATGATCGCCCACCCACGGGGGGAGATGTCAAAAACTTGCGCTTCTAATGAGTGAGGAATACGAGTCTATTCGACTTCACTTGTAAGTCGGCCAGTTCAATGCACTTGGATCATTCTGGTTTATGGTTTCACTCAAACGTTTAGAGTTGTTGAAATTGAAATACATATACGAGGAGTACGTTTATGAAAAACACGTGCCTCTGGCTGTCCCTTTTTAAGGTCATAACTTTCACGAAACGGCACCTTACAGATGCGTTAGCAGCACAAATGCAAATCGTTTGGCATTTACGTGACATGTGCAGCCCAGATAAAATGAACAAAAAGCCAACCCAACCCCCAACTCCCGCAGTGGGATGACACATGACAAAGGTCGTCTCTACGTGCTTGCAATTTCTGATATTTAAACAAAAATCAAATAATAAAAAAACAACAATAAATATAAAAGGAGATAGTGGGCAAAGACAGAGAAATGATTGCCACAGTTTGTGTGTTTGAGGTTAACGGAATGCAAAATATCGTAAGTTTATCAATCATGGAGGTTGCATAAGATCGCACAAAGGCAGACCCATAGATATTGAATGGGCGATTACAGCAATATAGCCAATTAATTAGCAAAGCTTTTCTTTTATCGAAGAAACCAATAAATCAGGGCGCTATAAAGGAGTTGAATAAACATCTGAGCTTCGGGTTCATTAAATTCACACTTCAGAAGGCGTTAAATACCTTATCCATTGATCCCGCTTTATTAGCACTGAAATCCCATTCAAGCAAAACTTCTTTAAACATTCGTCGGAGCTTCTTTTCCCACACTAATCACGAAATTTCGCCCAAGGAAAAAACAAAAAAGAAATCAGTGTCAATGAAAATGAAAAATGAAAAAATTCAAAATATTCGACCAGTGTGCCTCGGGTTCGGTCAAACTTTCAAGAACAAAACAAAACCAGAAATGAGAAAGAGACAGAGACAGAGCAAGGGGGAAGCAGAAGAGAATACTACGACAAGTAGCTGGCAGTCAATGATGTCGACCCATTTCGTTTTGGCTTTGGAAGAAAGTAATTTCTCAGGCGACCATCGGCCAGCGGCTGCCAGAGACAGAGATAGAGCCAGAGCCAGAGCAAGAGACTTGAGCCATTGAGGCGAACGGAACATCTTGGCGGCTCCCAGCTCCGAGTGTATTGGCCGATTTAAGGCCAAGAACTTGCGCGGCAAGTGAACTATGTGTATGCACGGGGCTAGTGCAGGGGCAGGGGGCAGGGAGCAGGGGCCTGGGCTGACTCCAAGCCAGTTTGCAACCGAGGAGGAGTGGAGGTGGAGAGATGGGACGCATGCGCTGTTGCAACCTGTTTTCCGTGCCCATGCGGTGTTCTGCTGCCCGCTGTTATTTATCGGCGGCTCTTGTTTATCGTGTTCATTGTTGAAAGTCAAAGTTGGCATAGAATTCCATGGAGTTCCGTGGCCGCATTTCGACCACGACTCGAATACTCGTATTACGGCGCGAATATTAAAATTAGTTGCCGCCTCAATGCGCCCAATTAGAACGCAAGCACTCAGAGCAGAGAGACACATATAACGGATCGGCTCAATGGCAATGACAGCGGTCCGGTGGAGCTTTAAACGGTATATGTTTTGATCCACACTCGTATTATTTTCACGTTTTGCACTATGTCGCCTGCTTTATTGGCACCTGCTCTTTCGGCAGCTTTGGGCTTGAGCTTCTTGATTTACAGTTACAGCTTCTGTGACAGTGACAGCGCGAGATCTCAGTGTGGGCGGAGTTAATTATTAATTTACTTCGCTGGGCCTATGACCAGCAGTTCATTTGGCTCTACTGCCTTCAGCTATACTCGTACTTGATTCAAATCGGCGAAGAGGAGCGCGCGCGCGACGTGAGATGAGATCGGGTTCGAAATAAAAGACACGACGCGCGCATTCACAACCGTCGCGCTTGAAAATATAAGGTAGTTTATTCGCTCTCTCTCTCGAGCTCTTTCAAATCATAAACTTTCGATAAGAAAAACCTAGTGTTGTAAAAGTCGCACACACCAAAGAGCGAGGGAGAGCTTTTTTTGCGTTCGTGGAAGCTCGCCTGAACAGCTGAGACCGGCTTTGAAGCAAGCTGAGAATCAACACCAACTCCAAGCGCATGCATTTGGGGTATTCGGTATTCAATACTTAACTTGCACTTGTACTCACTTTTCATTGCCCGCGGCATCTGTGTAGCTGCTTCTGTAGCTGCCCGTCAGACTGTCGAGGTTGCAGTCGAAGCTGGCGGACAGGGTATAGGCCTTGTTCATGCTGAGCACCTCTTTGAGTTTGATCAGGAGCAGCTCTCTCGTGTCGTCCAGATAGTACTCGTCAATGGCGATGCGCATGCGTGCCATCATATTGAGGATACTGATGCTGTGCACATTCAGGTCCTTGGCATGCAGAACAATCAGATTAGTCACCTCGTTCAGCTGGAACTGTATGGACACGGTGCCCTCGCAGCCGCCTGTTTGCAGGTCGGGATGAATGTATATCTTGTACTTGATGGGCCTAAGCTCAGTGGGCAGACGCCATTCAATCTAGGGGAAGGGGTTGTAAAGATTATTAAATATCCATCATCGATAATAAGCATTTCCATAAAGGAAACGATGGCTTGATAAGGTCTTGATACGATACGGAGAGATTGTCCCATAGTGGTCAGGTCGTAAAAAATGGACTTCGTCAGAATGTGTCAGCCTCAGCATTATACGAGTGTGAGTGCATTTACGAGTAAGGTCATTTAATTGTTGAATTATATGTTTATTGACGCCATCGAAATACGAAAAACTAAACTATTATAGCCCTAAGAATCATCTGTTGGCTCTGGAATTCAACAGTTGTTGGGGAGTGCCAGTCCGCAAATGGTTTTGTATGTAGTCCTCGAGAACGTCCAATTTGCGCTGGGCCTCGTCCAGTTGGAGCCACAAGTTGTCCCTATGGACAAGCACTACCACGAGAGCCACAATCAGGCAGGTGGATAGCAGACCAAAGAATATGGCCACTCGCTCCGCTGTGATCCAGTCTAATACACGTAAGAGATAGTGTTCCTTGAATTCTTTCCGTTAACTAACATCGATGCATACCCTTTGTATTCTTCAACTTGAAACCCATCTCTGATCTTTACACCGAGCAGTGCGTTGTCCTCAATCAAACTGCCTCGACTGACCACTAAAACTGGCTAGGTTCTCTTCGACCAACAATTTCTACTTTGATAAAACACAACACAATTTAGACCCAGCGATAAGCATTTGAAATGACTAAGAAATGACCACTCGGGAACATGATAAAACGCGAATTGGTAGCACTGCCGACTTTATGACGACCAACAGGAAAGTTTGTACTTTCCAATTGGTTTGGGTTTCTGTTAAGCATTTGCAAACTTTTTTTGTAGCACTGAACTTACCGCATCGGGATCAGGAAGTCCTGGTGGCAGTGTAGGGTAGATGGGATCGACACCAGCTGCGGGGGTGGTAGTGGTTCCACTTCCAGCGGTTGTGCCACCTCCAGGGGTTGTTCCACCTCCAGGAGTTGTTCCACCTCCAGGAGTAGTTGCACCGCCTGGGGAGGTTTCTGAGCCGCCGCCAGGAGCTGTAGAACCCCCACTTGGTGTGGTGGCACCATCGCCAGTTGGCACGTTGGGATTGGCTGTGGTAGTTGTGGTGGAGGTCGAAGTGGTATCTGCCGTAAGGGCATCAATCTTGTCCAGGGCATCCTGCAGATCATTCTCCAGATCGGAATTCTGTACGGCCAGCACAATGGTGGAAATACAGAAGGCCGTTGTAGCCAGGCCTAGGAATATGGCCACAAATTTGACAGTCAGCCCTAAAGGGTTCGGATTAAATACGTGATGACAATGCGGTTCTCCAATCAAACTATCAGGATGGACTCACAGGCAACCATTTTAGTCAATTATCCTTGCTCTTTCAGGAGAACTTTCAATTGCTTCCAATGCGCTGGGCGCCAAATTGGAAACTAAAAGCAAACTGCGAGTTTGACCCAACAATTTGGACTTGGTAAACTGCGGCCAGATTGCTGGACGATATCTAGACATGCCATATAGCTCCCCGATCCACGATCCCCAGGGCCCAGATAAATAGTCTTTAGTCTTTAGGTTTATGCCTGGTCATTAGGGTGTAGACTTTTATGATATTATTGCAAGGTTGTATATCGGAGTTTATTGCCGGACAGTCGCAGACCCAGGATGATTGCGCCCCATCAAGATTGGCGCTAGGACAGCCAGTGCATGGTTATCGACGTTTCTTGGGGCCATAGAAATCGCCACATTGTTGGATAAAATAAAGGAAATTCTTGGTTTTATTTATGGTTTGATTTTGGAACTTTATTTTATTGAACTTGAGCGGAAATTTTGTTTTTCTCTTATGCAATTCCTTCTAATTGCCAATTAGCTCTAAAACATTTACGTATGAACATTTATTGTACAGTAAAGACCATCTTTACAATCGGTTTTTCTTGGTCAACGGAACGGAGGTGCCACTCAGCCAGTCGCTTATGTCACCGCTGTTCTGCTTCAGCCACTCGATGTTGTACTTGATGGTCTCCACCGCCTCCAGCCTGGAGTTGGCCCCGGCCCCGGACTCCGGGTACTTGGCATAGAACTGCTGCAGTTCCTCCAGCTTGACCTGGCTGGCAAAGCTCTTCGTGATCTGGGCAATCAGCCTGCCAAAGTTGCGATTTGTCAGCCCGAAACGAGCACTCAGCTGGGGCCATTGCTCTCGGTAGTAGTCCCACACCACGGGCTCGCCCACGGGGTTGCTAGCAATGTTCTGCACGCAGGTAAAATAGTCCTGGGAGCGCACAATACTCTCGTCACTGGCCAGTACGAGGAAGTTGAACAGCAACTGGGCGTCCTGAACACCAGCCAACCCATACATAAGCTTCAGCTTCTCGCTGGCATCCGTTTCCTCCATGAAAAGTTCAAATAGCTTATCCCAGTCGGAGTTGCTAGTCGACTGCTGCATGCCGTAATAATAGACGATCTCGCGCAGATCGGGCGCTGGTCGGTTGGCGGCGGTGGGGTTCTGAAGCCAGGTGTTGAAGCGCTGAGCTGCCTGGTCCAGACAGTCGGGCAGGCCAAGGGAACAGGCCGCGGACAGGATGGACACCCGCAGTCGACTGTAATGTCGGAAGAGTAAGGAATTGTAAGAGGGGAATCGTTGGCTGAGAAGGGGGTCAGTGCTTACTTATTCAAGTGGTTATTCGCGTCCACACTCCAGCCCACTTCCTGGTAAACGCTGTCAACCAGAGTCCTTGCATAGGTCAAGTAGGAAACGTAGCCCTCGTTGAACATCAGGCTGCGTTGCAGCGCCTTAAGTTTCTCAGCCGCCACGTACCAGGGCGCAAAGTCACGCTCCTGGCCAAGGTAGGCGGTCATCTCCAGCGGAACTTTGTAGGACAGTTGGCTGGCATCGGCCAAGGCGAAGGCATCATTCAAAAGATGGGCGCGATCGGCAACGTCGAAGCGGGCGGGATAGGCTATCAATTGCTTGATGAGGGCATCCCAGAGACTATCTTCGTAGTTAACGCGATAATACCCCAATTGATGGACGTTCAGCTTAATCCACTGGACATCAGCGTCCAGTGCGATTGCCTCCGTGTCAATATTGTAAGCGAACACGAAGCTCTCGATCTTGTCGTCCTCCCAAGCGTCGATGGTGTAAGTGATGGGCACGCTCCACCTGTACTGGAATTCGCTGTCTTCGGGAGCCTCCTCATAGCTGGCCTTGTTGGAGAGGAAGCGCTGCTGAGTAATGAGGAAGCCAGCATCCCCACGGGACACATTCAGGACCGGGTAGCCCATCTGTTCGGTCCACGTGCGCATCAAGAGCTTCACATCAAAGTCTGTCACAAGGTCCACCTCGCTCAGGAAGTCATCCGTGACCGTGTTTTCAAACTGATACTTTACCAAATAGTTAGTAACAGCCTCCTCGAATTTTTCGGAACCTACAAGGTTCTCAAGCATTCGGATGACCGAGCCACCCTTCTCATAACTGATCGTGTCGAAAATAGCGCTGATCTCAGCCGGTGACTCCACTTCCTGGACAATGGGGTGCGAAGAGAGTTTGGCATCATAGACCATGACAGGATGCAGGGCGATTATTTGGAATTGCTCCAGCTACGAGGCAGATTACAATATGATTAGTCTCGAGAAGAATATCATTGCATACGATTATAATGGTGACCCATGACTTACCATTCCCCAGTCTGGATACACTGCGTTCACTCCCTTGTACTGCATGTAGCGGGCAAATCCCTCGTTTAGCCAGATGTCATTCCACCATTTCATGGTAACTAGATTGCCAAACCATTGGTGAGCAATCTCGTGGGCCAGGACGGCGGCGATCGACTGCTTGTTGAGCGTCGAGCTGTAGCTCTCGTCGTAGAGTAGAGCCGTCTCGCGGTAAGTGACCAGACCCCAGTGCTCCATGGCATTGGAGGAGAAGTCGGGGATGGCAGCCATATCCAGTTTGGTCAGTGGATACGGTACATTATAATACTGGATGTAGTACTCCGTGACGGCAGCTCCAAACTCTAAAGCAAAGTCAACCTTGTTCAGCTGGTGGGGAGTGGCAAAAGCCTCCATAGTGAAGTCCTCGCCAATCCCATTGGCATTGACAGTGGTGGACTTGGAGGCAAAATCGGAAACAATGATGCACACCAGGTACGTGCTCATCGATACAGTGCTCTCGAAGATGGCCTCCGTGTATTCGCCCAAATAATTGGATTCCTAAATGGTTTTATTAGATGAGCTGGGAAACGGTATTTAATAATGACTATGCTTACGGAGAGCTTCATATTGGAGACTGCGTGGTAAGATCCTGTGGGATGTACCACTGTGATGGCGAAAGTAGCCTTCATCGCCGGCTCATCGAAGCACGGGAAGGCCTGGCGGGCATAGACTGGCTCGAATTGCGTTGACGAAATGTTTCTGCAACACAAAACAGAGGCGGATTTTGACAGAGGATGTCAAAATTACGTTAGATCGCTGAGTAAAATCTGACTAAATATGACTAAATTCTGCCGTGCCGTGTGTTGCGACGTTAGCTTGTATATGGGCGATTTCGACAAAAATTACACCACGGCAAAAAACATTAAAATTCAAAAAGAACAGATTCCCATATAGCTTTCTATCGATATTATTTTCTACATGTATTCAAAAATTACTTATTTACCCAATTAACCTATTAAAATAAAGAAGAGTTCACTTTTTCTTTATGTTTTGGTATTGTTATAGTCATTATATCCCATAAGGAAGATTATTCTTGATAAACTTTTTCCTCAAAGTCTCTCTTCAATATTGAACTATCAACAAAAATATCCATAAAATTTGCCAGATCTCGGCTTTTTTTAAACTTTCGATCATTGTCATTTTTTGGTGAATGTAGGTAGCAGTATCCTTGTTTTCTAGACAACAATAAATCAATAAATAAAGAAGCGAAAACAAATCCGAAGCTTTATACCAACAATTCAAATAACGGCTAATTTTTAAAACAATTTATGCAGTGTCGCCACCGCAAAATGTAGCTCGCATGTAGATGTCGCGTAGCGTATGTCGAGTATAATCAAAATGAATTTCAAATCCCAGAAAAAATTACTTACCGTTGGTCTCCCGCTTCCGACTTGTAGGTGCTGCTGTAAAGACCCACCAGCTTGTCCGTCATATTTCCGTTAAAGAGAATACCCAAGGTGATGCTGGAACCGACCACCAGATCCTCCGTCAACGTTATGATCAGGAGCTGGCGTTCCACCTCCAAAACATATTCCACTACCTCTCGGTTCAGCACATAAACATTCGTCACATCCAGCAGGTAAGAGTGCAAAATGATTTGATTCGTGGCCTCAACGACATCTATGGTGATCTTCTCCTGGCCGGTGAAGGTGCCAGTATCTAGGTCCGGATGCCAGTAGAGTTCGTAGTGTTTGGGCAACAGTGCAGTGGGCAGACGATAGTCAATCTACAGATCAAGTATATTATTGAATTTCAGAAAATTTGTTAAACAAACGATTATCTGAATAGGAAGGTGTGTAGCAACAGGTGCACATATACCTATACAAAAGTATAACTCACATTATCCTCGCGTCTCTCTCGCTGGAGGGTTGGACGCACATCTAGCTCCTTGTAGATGTCAATCTTTTCCTGTACATCGCGCAGATCCGCCTCAAGTTTCGCGTTCTGCACCGCAACCACTACGGTGGCCGTGGCAAAAGCCGCCACCGCCCAGGCCAGGACCACCTGCATCCAATTTCGCGACAAGAACATCTTTGCAATCCCAACAATCGCTAACGACTGAATAGCCAACTAAGAGTCCGCCAACCCGGCCCGTCCAACTCTAGCGATTAGCTGCCATATAACAAATTCTGATTGTGCGCCCTGGAAGTCTATATTCGTGTATACAAGCGTTACGAACAACGTCGATAATTAGCCAAATAAGTTTGATTATGGCCAACATGGCGATACAGGAAAGGCCCGTCAGTGGATCTTCATGGAGGCGGCATGGCATTCGAACTTTCGCAATCAAATCAAATGGGATCGGATCAATTACAGTCACAACAGCCTACACCCACATCCACACACTCACGAGTGCAGTGCACCTGGTTATCGGAACGGACTAACGCAATCGACGAATGGATAATTGCTTATTTATGGAGCTGTAATTTTTGTTTTTTCCCAAAACTAGCTTATCTTTATTCTCAGTTGTTAAGCATAGTTGCTTTATAGCAGCCATTATATGAGTACAAGCTAAAAAAAAGACCAATGTACGATGATGGCCACTTTCTGGACTCATTCTCGTCCGCTTCAACCTCGATCTACAGTTGCTGATTGTCCAGCCAGGCGTCGACGGCTTCGAGATTTTCGGCCAACCAGACAATGTTGTTCTTCACCGTCTCCAGGGCGCGCACGCGTGCCGCAGTTCCGGCTCCTGCTTCGGGATACTTCTCGAAGAAGTACTCCATTTCCTCGAGCTTCGTCTGAGTGCTGAAGCGAGCCGTGATCGACGGTATAAGGTTGCCCAGATACCGCTCGTTCAGCCCAAAGCGATCCACCAACTTCTGCCAGTTCTCGCGCACATACTCCCAGACCAGGGACTCGCCCACGGGGTTGGCCGCAATGTAAGTCAGACAGGTGAAGTAGTCCTGACCTCGCACGTACTCCTCGTTCCAGGCCAGGTCAATGTACCGCTGCAGGATCCAGGGCTCCTGCACAGCGGCTAGGCCGTACATCAGCTTCGATTTCTCGCTGGCATCGGCCTCGTTGACAAACAGCTCCCAGACCTTCTCCCAGATCTCTTGGTTTCCCACCGATTGCATGCCGTAGTAGTAGATGGTCTCGCGGAGATCTGGCTTGGGGCGCTCATCGGGCTTAACCAGCCAACTGTTGAACTGCTCTCCCACCTCGCTAAGGCAAGATTCCAGACCCAGGGAACAGGCGGCACTCAAGGCCGTCACCCGAAGACGACTGAGAAGTAGATGAGGAGTAAGCAACGTTTCGTGGAAAGGACGCGTCATTGAGAGAGACTCTCACTTACTTGTCCAGGTGATCCTCTCCCACTGTCCAGGTGAGGGCCGTGTAGATGGGTTCGATCAGAGCCGTCGCATACTTCTTGTACTTCACGTAGCTGGTCGTGTAGTAGAGTGTACGCTTAAGAGATGTCAGCTTCGAGGCGGCCACGCTCCAGGGCACATAGTCCTCCTCCTTGTCCAGATACTTGGTCATGTCGAAAGCGGTCTCATACGGCAGCTGCGTGGAGTCCGCAAGGGCGAAGGCGTCGTTCAGCAGGGAGGCGCGATCTCCGGAACTAAAGGTACTGGGCGTGGCCACAAGCTCTGTGGCCAACGACTCCCACAGCGCCTCAGCATAGTTTACTCGGTAGTAGCCCACTTGCTCAGAGTTGAATTTGATCCACTGCACAGCAGCTGGCAGAGTAATGGTGACTGCAAATCAAAACGCTCAGATGAGAAGATTGGTAACCGGGAAGGAGCGCTGCCTCGCATACATATGGCACCACTTACTTTCGCTCTGGTCATGGTAAAACCAGACTCGCTGCACAGTCGACTCGCCGCTGGTGGTGTATGTGATGGGTATTGACCAGCGGTAGCTGCAAGGTAATGTATGTGCGAATGTTTCGATCAGATACGCATGGGGCAGTAAGTTCTACGACTCACTTGAATTCCGAGGGCTCGTGATCAGCGTCATAGTCGTTGGGATTCGACAAGAAGCGCTTCTGCGTCAATTTGTATTCAGTTTCGGAGATCTTCTCCACCGTGACAACTGGCAGACCCATCTAAAAATATTTTGCATAAAATGGTTAGAAATATTTTTCTAACGAATCTGTGTCCGTTGTCTTTTGCTCCACCTGGACTGTCCACGTCAGCATGATGGCGGTCACATTGTAGTCCAGACCAAGTTTATCGATCTCGGCAAAGAAATTGGATGTCTCGGCGGTTGTGTACTTGTACTCATTCAAATAGTTTGTCACGGCCTGGCGGAAAATGGTCTCGCCCAGAAAGTCCTCCACCATGCGCACCAGCGAGGATCCCTTGGAGTAGGTGATGGTGTCGAAGATTTCCGTGATCTGGTCGGGGTTCTCCACGGTCTGGATGATTGGATGGGAGCCCAAAGTTCCGTCCAAGGTCAGAACCGCATGCAATGTGCTATAAATGAACTGGTCCCGCTATGGAATCATATGGATAATCATTAGATGAATCCACCAATCCAAGCAATCCTAGTGCCGACTTGCCATTTTCCATTCGGGGAAGACTGAATCCACGCCAAGGTACTCGATGAAGCTGGCAAAGCCCTCGTTCAGCCAGAGATCGTTCCACCAATTCATGGTCACTACGAACGGAAGAGATGAGCCGGACTCATTGACTATGGAGCGGAGGTCGAGGACTCACCCAAATTTCCAAACCACATGTGAGCGAACTCGTGGGCAATGACAGAGGCAATGCGCTGCTTGTTGGTCGCAGAACTCGTCTCGGCATCGTACAGAAGGGAAGTCTCGCGGTAGGTGACCAGGCCCCAGTGCTCCATGGCACCGGACACGAAGTCGGGAATGGCTGCCATGTCCAGCTTGGGCAGGGGATACTCGATTTGGAAGTAGTCAATGTAGTACTCAATTACACCCTTGCCCACTTCCGTGGCAAAATCGACCTTTCCGATCTGCTCGGGGGTGGCGTAAACGCCCATTGTAAAGGTCTCGCCAATGCCTTTGGTGTCCACCTCAACGAATTTTGCGGTGAAGTCAGAGACAATGAAACAGGCCAGGTAGGTGCTCATGGGCACGCTCTTGGAGAAGGTTACTTCGGTGTAGGCCCCCTGATTGACTTCGGACTCCACGTTCATGTTGGACAGGGCATGGTAGTCGCCATCGACGGGGTGCACGAGGGTTATCTGGAAGGTGGCCTTCAGGGCCGGCTCATCGAAGCAGGGGAAGGCCTGGCGGGCATAGGTGGGCTCGAACTTGGACGTCGCTATCACCTTGCGGCTCTCATCCTCCTTAACATACGACGAACTGTACAGTCCCACAATCTTGTTGGCCATGGATCCCGCGAATCCCAGATGTAGGTCCACGTTGATGCCCGCGCTCAGCTCTTCTGCCAGCTGTAGAACCAGAAACTCCCTAACCGCGTCGAAGCTGATCTCCGAGACTTCCACGCTTGAAAAGTCGGGCTTAAGGACTGACACGCTCGAAATGTTTAGGTCCAGGGAGTGCAGGACAATGGTATCGGTTGCCTCGTGGACGGTAAGGGTAATCGTTTCCTGCCCATTAAACTCTCCGGTCTCCACATTGGGGAACAGATAAAGATCGTAGTGGGTGGGCTCCAAGCGGCTGGGGAGGCGATAGTCAATCTTCTCTTCCGGAGCTGGGGTGGTGACGGGAGCTGCGGTGGTGACCGGATCTGCTGTGGTTTCAGGGGCTGAGGTAGGGATCGATGGGTCAGTTTCTGAAGGTGTTCCTGTGCTCGGAGGAGCCGCCGTGCTGGTTGACGTCGTTTGCAGGCCCGCCTCCAGCATATCAAGTTTTTCTTGGGCCTCGCGGAGATCGCTCTTCAAACTGGACTTTTGCACAGCCAGGACAATGGTGGAGACGGTGAAGGCGGTGAGGGCGAGGCTCAGACCGATGGCCACCAGTTTCGCTGTGATAATCATGCTCAATCTTTCTCGCGTTAATCCAGTACGGCCCGCATCCAAAGCGACACTAAGCCCAGCCGAATGGGGCTGGGAGCCAGGTAACCACGAGCACCCTCGAGTGGGCCCCTATATCTTAATTGGACACGGGTGATACCGCTCGTAGCTGATTGCTAATCTAATCGTGCGCCGGCTCATCGACTGGTATTAGACGGAGAGCAAACATATGTACTCCCGAGGATCGTTCTAATTTATTGGCCCTGTCATGTCATGGCGCCGAGCGCTGGCAGCACGCTTCGCTTTGATTAAAGTTAGAAATGCCAAAGATCTGTCGCGTTTTTCCTCTTCCATCCGAAATTCCAATCTGGCTACTGAGCCGAGCCCAGAAACTCCCAGTGCCACTTCTCTAAGTTTCCACATCGCCGATGCCCATGTGTGTGTCTCCGGGCATATGAAAACGGAGACCAATTGAGCAAAATTCAGACTACCTGCCCGGCTTCTCGCCCTCTCTCTGTTTCTCCCTGTATTATCCGGCGCTTAGGCCTAAAAAACCCTTTTCCGGTGCCGCAAGATTTTCGACCTAATTAGAGAATCGGTATTTTCATTGTGTTAAAACCCAATCAACCAAATTTCCGCACACATTTTCGCAACGCCTGGCATACTACTCGCCGTATCGTTTGTGTATTTATAATGACTTTGTCGTTGAATGAAGTTCTTTAACAATCGACATTGTAAATTAGTATTTATTGCTATCTCAATTCACCTCAATTTACGGGAAACGTTGTTGTATGTATTATCATAACTCAATTATCTTTAAAGTACCATGAATATGAGTTCATTGATAAGATTAATATGTATATAATTTCTTCTATTTGTTCATTAGTATTCCATTCATTTCTTCATATCTTGAGGATTCAAACTGTAAGAGCATATGTCTGTTTGTGTGAGGCCACCATCCATAACGTAAACGTAAATATCTTTCTTTGTTTTACTATCAATCTCCATTTCTTATCACGACTTTCATCAGTTTACCATAAATTCCCTTTTTTCGCCTTGCGGACAATGGTCTTAAGTGTCATTTGGCCTAATCCGGGGTATTAACTTTTGCTGAAAATACCAACAGCATCAACAAGGACAGCAACAGTCCTGGCTGGGTATTCTTCCCAGCAGCTTACCACAAAGCGCAATTAATTTCCCAAATTATATCCAGGCCTGCAGCACTAAAAACTATTTGTCATATGTTTTGTTATATAATTGGCTTGCCTGGCCAGCCTGCCGCCAGGCAAAATACAGGATCAAATGCTGATACAAACCCAGACAGGACAGAGAGGACAGACACAATCCAAAACCCAAACAAACCCGATTCCGAATCATCGACATCGGGCAACGGGCATTGATATTGTCCAGTGGGAATCGGGGAATTCCCGCCGACTGAATGAGATCGGGCAAATTTCATTCATGAGCACGTCAGGCGCCACATGAGGTCTACCTGCTTAAGCGTGGGAAAGTTGAGAGCGGCGCAGAGCATCCCCCGCGGACACGGACACGGACACACCGTGGAGCAGGTAGGTCCGGATGAAACAGGGCTGCTCCGCAATTTGGACCACCAGTGGGTTATTTGTGCGAGGCTGGGAGTTTTTGTCTCTCCACAAAATCCCAACCGAAGACAAATTTCCGGTTTTTCGGCCAGGCCCAAATTTCCCACGGGTACGGCCCAGGATGGCGTTGGCTCCTGGTATAAATTCGCAGGCCATCTCTATTCACCATTCAGTCGAGCTAGAGAGAGCACGGAGACAACACATCATACCACACACGACACACAAAATGTTCTTCATACTCAACCTAATCCTGGCCATCACCGGCTCATCGGCGGGCGTCATTGAGCCCATGAACTATTACCAGTACACCCAGTTCCAGGCACCGCTCTCGTGGGAGGCCATCACCAGCGCGGGCCTGAAGCAGGCGCTTTCCAGTTGCCAGGATAGCTTCAAGTGGCAGCGCTGGAACTGCCCCAGCACGGACTTTGTCAAGCGGCACACTTCACCGGCTACGCCGACGCCGGAGCGAGAGGATGTCTACGTGGCCGCCATCTCCATGGCCTCCATTGTCCATACGTTGACCAAGGATTGCGCCAACGGAGTCATCGCCGGCTGCGGATGCACAGGAAACGCCTTGAACGTGCCCTGTTCCCATGAGCCGCTCAAGGCCGTGGAACTCTACGAGAAGCGGTTTGGAAGCGGCTCGGGCGCCGCTGCCCACAACCAGAGGGTGATCGGCTCGCTGCTGCAGCAGTCCTTAGTGCAGGAATGCCGCTGCAAGCAACCCGGCCCGCAGGGCAAGTGCCTCGAGGAGGAGTGCGTAAAAGTGCTGAAACCGTTCGAGGCGGTGGCCCAGGACGTGCTGCAGATGTACGACGACGCCATCCAGCTGGACAGCACTGCCAGCAATCTTAAGATCATGTGGGAGAACATTCCCCTCGACTCGCTCGTCTTCATGCAGGACTCACCAAATTATTGCGAACCAGAGGCCAGCGGCCGCTGGACGGGCACCCGAGGCCGCCAGTGCTCCAAAGATAGCAGCGGCTCGGTGGAGGAGCGCCTCTCCTGCCAGCAGCTCTGCCGCGTCTGTGGCTACCGAGTGCGCACCCAGCACGTGCGCAGCGAGCGGCGTTGCAACTGCAAACTGGTCTGGGGGTTCCGGCTCCAGTGCGACGTTTGTGTCCAGCTGGAACGACAGTACACCTGCTACTAGGGGTGCCAAGAATTGGACTGCGGGGCGCTGGTCAAGCCTCACAAAAACTTAGATTTAAATTAATTTATTTTTTTCCACCGTTTATTTATTTCTACCACAAACACCATCAATAAATACGTAATTTACGAGTAATACATAAAACTGTGCCATTACTTTTCATTGAAACTGTTAACAGACAGACTGATTTATGTAGCAATTGCAATGGTTAGAGCATTCGCCTGCCTTGCTGCATGTGAAAGCCATTTCCACTGATTACGAAATGCTTTCTTTCTATTTCGAACGTACAACCCAACCTTTAAATAACAAACTATTCTGGCTTTCTAAAAACTAAACGTGTACGACAGGTGGAGGATGGTATTGTCAGACAGACACATCTGCAACGCCATAAAGTAGACTGCTACTTGAATTTCTGAAACGCAAAGGCCCCATTGTATATCCATTAACATTAAATACATAATTGGTCGAAGCGAAATTTTAGTTGAACAAGAATTACCACTGAGTGTTCCTAGGTCTGCACCATCAAGTAGCCCCTGACACCAGCAGATGACGTGCGGATACCAGGCAAAAGCCCTCCATCCGCCCAACCGACCGAGGGACGCTGTCGCAAGTCGCGTGATTTGTTAACCGAACTGATATTCAAAGAAAATTATAACTAAACTTACTAAAAGAGCTAAGCTTGCATTCAAATTTACAAATAATTACGAGAAAGGTATGTGAGTATTAGTAATTTAATAAGAAGGAGGAAATTAGTGGTGGTTATAATATGGTAGAGGGAAATATAATTCTAGAATAAGATTCTAAACGGTTCATGCAAGGAATAACTCGATCTGCAAAGCAGAAGGGACAACGCTGTATAGTTTCTAGTGGATCTAATAGGAATCGTGAATCGTTATGCGGCTCAACAAATCAGGGATATCTATGGGATTTTGGAGCAGACATATTTGGGTACCACTATGTATAGCAAAGCATGCAAAATTCTGACGCTCATCCAGAACCAATTGAGTCCGAATAATAGGTAATTTCTGCAACTTTCGAGACCCACACATCATTTGATAAAAACACGCAATCAACCCGATGTCTATATGTTTATTCCAAAGGACCTACAACCTAAAATCGAATCTTAATGCATTTTGAGATTGTTGTACTAACTGCCCGGTGCTTCTTAGCTAATCCAAGTGGTCGGCTTGCCCTCCACCCGATATCCGTTGTAGGCGGCGGCTGCTGAGGAGGCGGCAGCTGCCAGCTCGGATCTCCGACTCGGCTCGCCGGCCCAGTAGGACGGGACCTCGTAGCTCTGGACCATCTTGTTGCCGTTCTTGATGGCCGAGATTATGAGAAGGAAGATGGCCAGTTTGCCCACCAGGATTGACTTGACCAGCAGCAGCTTAAGCTTCGTCACCAGGAACGGCACAATAGCGGACTGGATGAGGAAGGGCAGGATGAAGAGGGGCAGCACTTTGGTAATCATGTCGTACTTCTTGCCGCGACCTAGAACGATTCAATGGGTTTGAGTGGGATGAGCTTTACTCCTACATAAATTAGCAGACTCACCTTCTTCGCTGTTATCCGTGGTCAGCCAACGAGCTGCCATGATCTCCTTGAGGTTCTCGCCATCCAGCTTCACGTGCACGATATCATTGCTCATGTCCAGGCTGACATTGAGGCCAGGGCCCACAAAGTAGCGTTGTATGGTTTCATCCTCAGACTGCAGATCGGGCTGCTCTGTCCCTGTCCCTGTCGCTGTCCCCGTCTCTGCTGCACCTGATTCCTCACGCCTCTTGTTGCGATCCTTGCGCTTGCGTTTACGTCTCTTCTTGCCCGCTGACGTCTCGTTGTCATCGTAGATGGGCGCCCCGGTTTGGGCCTCGAGCAGGGCCTCGGCATTGGCTTCCTGGCGCAGCTCCTGGGCCAGGACATCTGCAGCCTCCAGCTGCTCCTGGTCGCTCTGTGGCTCTGGGCCTTCGGCAGCCTCGTTGTTGGCTATCTGGGAAGCACCCACGCGGTCCCTCAGACGCTTTTTGTACTCACTGGTCGTCTTGTTGCCCAGATAGGTGCTCTTGTAGTTCTTGTAAATGCCCATGAAGATGTGAGAGTTCTTCCTCAGGGACTGCTTGTCCTCCGGCTCGTAGCTACTCGCCAGCCCCCGGGCCGCTTCCGTGGCAGACGCTGCCTCACTGGTCGTCTCCTGTCCGCCATCATGCCCCCTGGTCAGGGCGGTGCAGAGCACACTCAATAAAAGGAATCTCACTAGGCTGCTCATCTCTGCTGCATGTCACCCGTCGCCGATCTGTGATTGTTTGCTCCGCTCGATGTGTTCGCGCTGCACTGGCCAGCCACAAAATGTGGCACGATCAGCGGCCGCCAAGCATTTTATCAACTTAGAAGAAAGCAGCCAGACCGAGAGCCAGGCTGCTGCCAGTGCCAGCGCCAGACGAGTGGCATTCTGATGCTGGAATTGGCATTGGAATTGAGCACATCCAAGCAAAGCGTCCAACAAGCAGCCGGACAACGACAACCAGCAACCAGGTAGCCGCCAAGCAGGAACACAGCTGCCACAGAACCAACAGGTTGCCCCATCCAGCGATAGAACACGATTCTTGCGCTGGATTTGCAACAGAATCCTCTTCAATTAAATTGCCAGTCTTCGATGTCGACGTCTATGTCTATGTCTTGGTCTTGGTCTTGGTCAAAACATTGCTGGCCCGTTGCGAGTTCGAAAGAAGAAAATATCTAGAGTAGGCCTGCAATTTCTCACTGATCTCGCTCATTGATTTCTTTTAGCTGTAATTGCCCCTTGCCGCCGCCACCGCTACATGGCCCCACCACCACCACCACCAACACCGTCAGCATTAGCCATAAATAATACCGAATCGTTAAGTAGCCTGCTAACGGTTCGTGCTTGGTTCTTTGGCCCACAGGCAGGCCGAAACAGAGCCAGTCCCAGCGACGCCTTCAATTAACTCTGACGGCGATTGCATGAGAAAGTTGTTGACAAAACTGGCGCACAGAGAGCTGATCTTCTGCAAGGTGTCCGGGCGGAGGGGCGCTAAGACTGAAAATCCAGAGTAGAAAGTAAATTCTATCGATGGTGGCATGAAAAATCCGCTTCACATATTAGGTATCTTAATTTACTTTCACACAATTAGCAGTGATGCCAGCCAATTAGCAAAAGAAACAAAGTTAAAACATGAAAGAAAGAGGACCTTGCATGAGAGATACATGTATGTCCATAGCTGTAATCTCATGCCTCGATAACATTTATGTCAATCTATGTCCCGACAGTCGCAAAATCCCCGATCTTATCTTATCTGTAAAATGATAATCCACAATAAATAGTATCAGTCCAAAAACGTTGAACAAGTGACCAGTAATCCATCCGCCATGTATCTGACGTCACAGCATACAAAAAAATAAATACAAATACAATATCTCCCAGATCTGATCCATCTTACGGCACAATAGTTATATTAAAGTCAATATCAATGAATAAGTAATGCAAAGCTATTCGTAGACATTCAGAATTGATGGAAAAGTTTTAGAGAAGTGGAAAACTTCCAACTGCATTCAGATACGTTCTATGAAGGTGCCCTTTGGGAAGTAAAACTAATTTCGATTATCTGCCATACTGCCATTATTTATTGGATGTCAGATAAAGAACTATTACTGTACACCTGCCTGAAAGCTGAAATTAGCTTGTACTATTATCATTATCATTTTCGGAATGCCGTAAACGAAAGTGAATTGCCAGGGTGTGGGTTGAGGAGAGGGTAAGGCCTGCGCCAGACACTCATCAATGAATGACCGTTCCGTTACTATGCCGTCGAGTGAAGCATTTTAAGTACAGGCATAGATTGAAAATTAAAATGCAGCGCCTGCTTATTAATTAGCTGATAAATCATTACCGGCCAGCGACGAAAAATGAAAGCGAATCGATCGGGTAGATGCGGCGACGGCATGGGTATGGCGGCTGCCCTCAATATAGACACGCGTCGTGAAAGAATGCCCATGTCCAAGTCCAAGTCCAAGTTCCTATGTAGCACCAAATGCGTTGCGCTGGGCCCCCCCAAAAAGGGCCCTCGTGTCGGGCTGCATGCATATTCAAAGAAGTACGCCATCAGATTCGGCATCAGTCAGCCAGTCGGAGCCAGAGACATACTTGTACTCGCACTGTGGCACGATTTGCTTGTTTTGGCGCACGTTCGTGCCGTGAGACGCTCCGATGTCCGGCTGTCGAATTTCAAGTAGCCGCCAGAGGGCTGGCCAAGACCCACGTCGATAAAAGCAAATGCCAGTGTGGGCCATGCATTCAATAGTCGTCCGGTGCCAGAACTGTGCAGAGCTGAGCAGAGCCCAACGGATTACCAGATTCCCGAATCGAAGGACTAAACGAACATCAACGAAAGAACTCGAAATGGCCGCCATCCAGAAAACTGTGTTCGCCATCGTGTGCCTATGCCTGGCCTTTAACGTGGTGTTGGGCCAGCAGCAGCCCGCCAATAGCTCGGACTCCGACTCGGATGTTGCTGGTCAGTTCAGAAGGAAGGGACTCTACAGCCATATCTACAGTAGCTAACCAGTTTGTTCTTCTTGCAGAGAGCCGCACGTTCGGCCACCATTTCCTGCGCCGCATCAGCTTCGCTCTTGTGCCCGGAGCCTTCGTGGTGGGCGTGATCACCACCCTGCTGGCGGCCCTGACGGTCGTCTCCATGAAGGGACTGGGAGTGGGCGTCATCCTGCTGGTGCTGGCCATCGGACAGATGCTGTCGCGAGCCCTGCCGGTCCAGGCAGCCGCCTATGCTGCCGCACCCGTGGCGGCTCCAGTGCCCGTCGTCTACTCGCACTCGCACACCCAGCAGCCCGTCTGGCTGGAGAAGGAGTGGTAGAGATGGGATCCATACGGCGCTCGAATGGGGCCAAAGATCGAGATCAGGACGAGAAAGCGAGCTGGTAGCAGGCCATGTTTTACCTCAATCTCAGCGAGCATGCAACCAAATAATAATTTAAGACTAGTTTAAATTATTTATTTATTACAACAAGTAAAGAATGGAAAGTATTGATTTCATTTGATTGTGCCTGTGTCTGTGCCTCTGCCCCTTCCCATGGAAAGTGAAATCTCCGCCCCGCCTCCGCCTCATTGGGTATGCAGCAGAGGGCGTCGCTGATTTACGGTTCTTTTAACTGCCCTTCCGTAGTGCCAGTTCCCGACTTGGACACTGCGACGTGCTCGCCCACACAGACGTTGAAAGAAAGCAAAGTCCCACTCCCGAAGCCACAGCGATAGAAATGGGTCATACCCACCCGTCTAGCTGGGGATGGATTTCTCCTTGAATATATGATGAATATCACTCATGTCTCATTATGGCCAACGATTAATTAATTAGACTCTCACTTGATAAGTAGTCACTTAATTGAAAACGCATCACTTTTCTATCCATCCAGCCTCTCAATCATCATCTCGAATCCGGCTTCAATTGTTCCACTTTATACGCCAATTTAACAATTTTGCACTCTGTCACCGAAGTAAAGCATTTGGGTGACTTCACAGTCGGTTGGATACCCTTACTAATTATGGATAGCTTGAATATTTAAAAATTCTTCCATAAGCAGAATGTTTGAGTTCTTACACACCCGATTTCCTTTTTCAAACAGTTCAATCCTTTATTTATTGAAGCCTGAAATAACTCTTAGATGTTTCGAATGGTTCATGATTATTTCAGTATCGCAAAAGAATATCTGTTTCAATTAGAAAAGAAAAGGTTACACATTCCAAACATCTAGCCGATATTATGTATAACGGATATTTGAAATGGATCGTAAAAATCATCTGGTGTGTTGAAAACTAAACTAAACCACTGTATGGTCAATAAAGCAGATTTTAGGGTACAATAATAGCAAATGTGCTCTCGATATCCTTATTATCTTATCACTCAGATATTCCTCTGTTAGATAGGGTATGAAAATTTCTAATGCGCAGACAGCATCACTACTGAAAGAGAAGGGGGTTACTCTTACTTGCTGACGCACCGGTGACACAGTTAGCCTGGCTGATACATGAGACAAGTGCCACCACTTCGCAGCCGAATTGCCGCTGAGCGAGAGAACAAATGGGAGCGGAGATCAGTGAAATGGGTGATTTAGCCAGGTGTGAATGGATATGTTTTGACTAGGCCAAGAAGTTCGGCGGTAAACAAACGGATTGGCCGGCCATAAGTCAGGCAAATGGGGCAAGGCAAGGCACGGCAAGGCAAGTGGAGAGCGACAGCGATATAAGCAACTGCAAGTGCAACCGCAGCTTGACCCGCTAAACTAAATCTGAGCGTCAGTGGAGCGTTGGCGAGCCGAAACCAGTTGGCCAGAGGAAAGCGGCCAAGAAATCACTGCGATGGGGTACTGGCTGGTCCAGCCAAGGATTGCTGGTGGTCCGAGCGCGGCAATGATTTCAGTTCTGCACTGTCACTGCTGAGGTGCAGTTGTGTTGTGTACCGAGCAATTGTCATTGGAAAAACGAATAGTACTTTGAAAAATGCACGCCACCTCAACCAGCACCAGAGCCTTGCGAGTCCTTTTCGGACTCTGCCTTTTGCTGAGCCTCGATCGTGCGTCGGCCCAGAATCTGGCAGAGGCTAGCGAAGACTCGAACCCGTCGGAGCCCCGGGCGCACTCGGCGAATAGTGTGTCATACTTTAGGGCGTCGATTCCAATGCGAATCTACGAGTGTCTGCGGGAGTCCAGCATGCTGCACTGCACCAAGCTGTATGTGCTGCAAAAGATGGAGGAGCGACGCCAGATGGCCAGCTCGGGCAACCTGACCAGGGACTTCCTCGACCAGTTCTTCGGCGAGGAGACCCAGATGGGTAGCCTCATTTCGCAGAAGTACCAGCAGATGTCGGAGAAGGAGCTGAATCAGCGGCTGGTCGTGAACTTCCAGCGCTTTTTCAAGCACCGCGATCTCAAGCTACACTTCCTGTCCGGCATGCTGGTCAAGATAGTCCCCAGCAAGGACAACAAGCTAAAGTTCTCCCTGAAAAAGGGTGAGTATTAAACCGAAGTCCTGTCAGCTGAATGACGATCCTTCGCTTGCAGCTGGCAAATCCCGCGTGGGACGTGCCAGACGACGCGAAACGGAGGAGCTTGAGCTGAATCTTATGAACATTCCCTCGATTGGCGGAGTGGGCGGCAACAGCGGCAGCGTGGAGAACTACGAGCCGGAGGCGGAGGGCGACTCCAAGCAGCAGGGGCTCCTGGGCGGCGGCGGTGGCGGTGCCGAAGATGGTGGCGGGATCGGCGGCGGACTCTTGAGAAAGCGGAAGCACAAAAAGAACTCCAATAAGGTGACCATGATGCAGGTGGCCGTTCCCATGCTGATCTTTCCCATCGTCCTGCTGGGCAGCCTGCTGCCCTTCATCCTGCCTGCCCTCAAGATGGCCACCATTATGTCGCTGGTGATGAACAATGGCGCCTTCTTGGCCGCCCTGCTCTATGCCGCTCGCACCCAGTTCAACACCCACGAGGAGCAGCAGCACATCAGCTACAGTTAGCTCTTTCATCAGTGAACGCTAACCTTTCACCTTTCACACTTGTCACTTTCCCAATAAAGACTGTCTCTTGTGTTATGGCTTCATTTTTCCAGATCAGAAACTCATTAAAAAAACGCGGAAACTTCAATTATATGGGTGGGTGGCAGTATCCACGGTCTGGGAGGAAAGGATTCATTTGATCATATAAAAATGCATTGCCACCACTTTAGATACGCACAACCTTATTATAGAATACCATTTGATGGTATGGGTCCCATTTGTAGGATTGTTCTACAGAACAAATTAGGTATATTTCATTATAGTTTGTGATTGTTCAAAACATCCTTGGCCATTTGATCAATGCTTTCGCAATCTTTTTGCCTTTCAATCAATCTATTCAAATGCTGAAATGCTGAACATCGAAAAGAAACACAATTGATGATTTTTTGTAAGTTTTATATAATTTTGTTTGTAGAGTTTCGCAACAATTGTTGGATTGAAATGTACAGTTGGGACCTTTATGACTAACACAATGTACACACGCATAAAAGTCGATGCTTAGAGTAGAGCTTAGTAGGTACACTTAATTCTAGAACCTCTTGCGTAAATATACAATTATTTATATGTAGGTATAGAGATAGAGAGAGGGTGGCAGATGCGTTCAGCCTTGAACGACAAGTGCGAGATAAGGTTGTGTAAAAAATTAATAAACGTGCAGATTTTGTTAACAATTTGTTGCTTTGCACATGTAGCTTTGACTAATCTCGAATAGTTTTCTTCTTGGTTGTATTTGGAATTGAAGCCATTGATTTGTAAAACGTTTCTTGTGGAACCCTTCAAAATTTGCAATCGGGTCTGCGCCTCGCCTCCCGTCGCTCCGCTGCTCGGACTTCCTTCCCCAAACTCGTATTAACAGACACCACTTATGAGTAGGCAGTATGGAGCAGAGCCATTATTTGCTACTATTAAATACTGCAGACCCGATTGTGAAACAAGAAATTTGTTCGTTAGTTCGCTTAGTTAGGATTGGTAACTGCTGACCCACTCGATGGGGCCCTCCCTGCCTAGTCTCGCTTGCAGTCGGACTCCTTGTTCACAACGGAGGCGCTCTTTCGGTCCTCCTCGCTGATGTCATTGTCGTCCCAGCCCCAGATGGCGTGCTCTTCCTTCTCGTGGTCCAGATGGGCCACCAGCTCGCTGGTGGGGATGGCATTGTTGTTGTTGGCATCCATCAGGGCGGCAATGTGCGAGCCGTCGCCAGTGCGCAGCGCCCGCTTGTACACCATCTCCTGCGAGACGAACTTCAGATCATAGGCCTGACCTGTGGATGGAGAAGGGAACAGAGAACAGAGCGGCATTATTGAAACGTCTGTCCTTCATTGGGGGGGTGGGTTAGAGACCGTACCGATTTTTGCCATCACGTCAATGAAGGCAGTGGTCCAGTTGAAGCTGTAGGTTCCCAGCTCGGCTGCCTTGTAGTCCCAGGGGAAGACGTGGTGGTAGTTGTGCCATCCCTCGCCGATGGTGAGGGTCGACACCAACTTGTTGTTCCTCGCACTCACATTCACGTCGTAGGCCTTCATGCCGTAGAAGTGGGCGGCGCTGTTCACCAGCCAGGTGAAGTGCAGCGACAGACAGAAACGGAGCATGGAGCAGGTGAAGAAGCAGACGCGCAGCGAGCTGCCCATAAAGTAGTAGGGGAATATCATGGGCACCACGAAGCAGCAGATGGGCATAACAACAAAGTAGAATCTGGAAAGGACCGCAGATTTTTTAGCAAAAAATTCGTGGCGATCTGAAGGTCTGAAGGGAGGAGCTTACTTCTTCTGGAAAATCACCACGGGATCCTCCTCAATATCGGCCATCGAGATCTGTTTGCCCTTGCTGGTCACGTCCGGGTGCTTCTTGCACATCAGCCAGCCCATGTGGGCGAAGAAGAAGCCGCGTCGGGAGTTGTGGGGATCGGCGTGTGTGTCGGTGAACTTGTGGTGCACACGGTGGTCACGGGTCCACTCCCAGATGCTGTTCTGGAAGGCCAGGGACTGGCACAGCATAAGGAAGATGCGCAGCGGCAGCTTGGCCTTGTAGGCCTTGTGCGACCACAGACGGTGGACGCCGGCCGTGATGCCCAGACCGCCCAGGAACATGGTCGCGTACACTGCGAACGAAATCAGCAGAAATCAGTAAATGTCCCACAAGCCTATAGCGCGATCCTGGTTGTACTCACCGGGTAAGAGCTCCATGTAGGCGCTCTCGGCAAAGACCAGGTAGAGACCGTACAGAGCCATCGAGTGGAGGACGATGAAGAGGCCCACGTTGCGCCAAACAATCTCCATTTGGAAGGGCTTCTTCTCAGTCTCAGCCACGGGCTCCGACTTCTTGGCGGGCGCTTGTTTCACGGCCTTCGGGGTCGTGGCTGAGGAAGCGGGAGCGGCGGCCACCTTGTTGTTGTTGCCGTCAGCAATGGCCGTCTCGGCCAGTATGAAGGTGCTGCCTATTATGTTGGGCGTCATCTGCAAAACGATCGAAACGGAGAGCACGCACCCATTAGTATTGGCATTCCCACAGGTTGCTTCCTGATTTATGGCCTGTCAACCGGGCCGGGCCGTCTTTGTCGTCTCAATCTGTGCACCTTAGAGATGCAAATCACTCTGTCGGGCGGTGGGTGCTGCTACACATCACCCCTCATTTGGTATGCGAGACAGGCTCCTCCAGCACTTCCACATAAAAGGCATCCCCAGCTGCAGTACACCACACCACACGACTAATTATGGACCATATTGAGATTGAGGTGACTGCCGGAGCAGAGCAGAGCAGCTGCCTGAGCAGCGCGACCTTCGCCGTTAGCCAGCTCCAAGCTTCAATGATACTCGAAGCTGATACAAAGATAGCAAGCCGGAAACGCAAAGAGAATTCCGAAAAATCAAAACTCAACCAAAAAATCCCCCCCAAAAACCATCAATAATGTGATGTTGTACACGACGACTAATTTATTTGCATATCCATTCTTTAAAAATGTTTTCCTCTATCAATCGGTTTGTTCTATTGAAATCCAGAGCCTTCCAATATTCATAGAAACTGTACTTTTACCCTAGTCGAAGCTTCTGTTCGCTGCGCATAAAGGGAAACTTTTCGAAAACAAAGTTGAAAGTTCTAGGAAAATAGAGCCTTGGAACTTAGGCGTTCCTAAATCATAAGCGATTGAGGTAGTCTAACGACGAAGGCACATTTGAATTTCATTGGACTTTATGAGGCGGCGAATTAATTCATGAACGGGCGCGTGTCGCAGGGTTCAAGCAAAGCATGGCCCAACCGCCTTGAGGGTTCGTTGATACCAAAACTGCACAATGATTCGGATTGTGCATAGGATTGTGCACTTTGAGTTTGCGAGCCAACACACCAACTGCAAAGGCAGTAATTTGCAAGCCTGGCATTATCTAGGCCTTCAATTTTTGTATCTTTCGGACACTCGAACAGCAGTGAAGCCAGTTCCAGTTGCCAGCTGCCTAAATGGCTGATCTTCACCTCCTCTAGAATCTCTAGAATAGACAACCGGTTGACCTCCCAGCCTGTGCATGTTTTTATTGATTCAAACAAAAGTATTCTTATTGGCAGCGGCTTTCGAGCTGTGCGCGTAGATTTCGAGCCATTAACTTGTTGTCATGGTTCAATGTCAAGTCGTGTGCCTTGAATTTATTCGCCGACGGCTCTGGCTCTGACTGGGGCCGCTGCCTCTCAGTTCAAGTTTGGTGGAAAGGTGCGGGCTCGGGCCGTGCGTCCTTCTCTGGCATTAAACACTTTTTACAGCTAATTAGCATCAGAATAAAAACTGACTACAAGTCGATGCGATGAGTACTGTAATTCGATTTCGTTATCAATCCATTGAGGGATACCGGGACTTGTCGAGGCGAGACACGGATAATTTCATGCAGAAGCCACGCGCACCCAAAAGTAAACTAGTTATGCCACGGGCCACACGAGCCCGAGTGACAGAATCCGCTTCGTATTATATTTAACTTTGGCTCGGATCAGGCACGACGTTCAATCATCCTTACCGGAATATTAGCATAGTTAAGTAACCGCGATAAATTTATGTATAGAACTGCTTTTGTTTCGGGTTCTCCAGAGTCTCCGACGACCAAGTTTCTTGTTCGGCGGCAACAAGTTCTGGGGGTTTAGGTTTTTGCCTTGAGCTTTCGGCTTAACTTTGACTTTGGGCTCGGAGTTCTCGATTCTTGTCGCAATCTTTTCAGGGTGTGCTGACTCCAACATGTCTTGGAACGAAGTTTGGCTGGTCGGTGTCGGTGGCCCGAACCACGTCATAGCGGACAAACAGACAAGCAGACATCGAGGGAGACAGAGCCAGAGACGAAAGCAATAGTAATAAATATAATACAAATGTGAATAGCTACGGAACCTGACTCAAAACTCAAATCTAATACGGCACTGTGGCGTGGCTCTACTGTGGCTCTACAGTGGCTCTAGTGATTGATACTGGGAGAGCTTCCATTGATCGATTCGCTCAGCGCACGCAACACACGACGCCTGCCGCATATCAAAATCGAATCATTGGGACTCAGAATCGGACTCGGAGTCAGAGCCAGAGCCGGACTCAGACTTAGACTGGGGATTGGGAACGTGACTTTGGCCTGGTCACTGTTCTATATGCGGAGGGGAGCTTTAATATGCTTATAGCTGCATATAGCCGATAGCCGTGCACAGTTCGCATTATGCGTGGCATCCATATTCATTCTTGGTTACTTCTGCCGCATTCGCAATTAGCGCGTGCGCCAAAGAGATTCGGGGGATTGGGATTCTCCCATAGAAACAATGTCCCCTCGATTTTGTCGCCTTGATCATCGCCCAAGCCGTGGAATTCTGTCTATCTAGACAGTTCCATTCGGACTTTTTAAGGGTAGCATAATTATTGTATTATGAGGAGTACGTGAGGCGGCGGCACATTGTTTCTGCTTCTGCTGGGGTATTACTCAGAGTGTGTTTGGATCTTTAAAATTTGGATTTGCGTAAGCACCTATCCAAATCTAATATCCGAAATGGTTCTTTCATAAATACTTTTTACTGCTCTGCTGAATGCGATTTCCTATAGATGAATCACATCGCACGATTGTCTTTTGAAGTGGTTTTGGTTTTGATGCTTTGGCAAGCGGGTTTCTGTTGAAATTCGGCTTAAACTTTTATGATAGTTTCGATTTGGTTTCCTGACTCGATTGACTTCCGCAAAGCGTAATCAAGAGTCGAGACCATCAGTGTCAGGTGGGAGAGTTTTTCAAGAAATGTTCTTCAGCATTCCTAACCGATTTTAGCCCTCACACTCACCTTTAAGGATTGTGTAGCAACAGCTAGGGAAAATCCAAGATAAAACGGATACAAAATTCACGCACAAGAAACTATTTGGTTAGTTTCGTTTAGAACCGTTCGAATGGGCACAACACCGAAATTCACAGGGCACACAAAAGTTCGTTTCGTATCCAGTATCTAAGGATATTCAGGCTCGTTCGGATTGAGGGGTTTTTTAAATTTGTCAGCTTCTTTTGGCCACACAACCACGGCACGTCCACGAGGCGCGATGAATGCACGGCGTATGAGGGTACGGATCGAGTGGCAGTGCTTTTTAAGCGCCTAGGTTAAAGAATTCGCACAGCCGAGTGTTAGACGCGCTGAGCTGAGAGAGCACTCGGATACAGTGTCTCAAATGTTTTCCAACACCGAAATTTAAAGCCGTCTCTCTGCTTCACCTCGCTCCACGGCGGCTCCACTTTGCTGCTGCTGCTGCTGCTCTGCTGCTGTTGCTGTTGCTGCGGCGGCGTCGGCGGCTGCGAATCGTCGGCGATTCTTGGGCTGTGACGATCGGATCGATCGATCGTTAAGACGGGGCCGGGGTCGCCTATGCTTCAGCATGTGCGTGTGTTCGTGTGTGTGTGTGTGTGTGTGCGTTTGTGTTTTGTGATGAGCGGCGCGTGGCTCTGGGACAAGTGTGCGTGTGGGGATGAGAGATCAGCGAAGAACGAGAATAATCTAGTTGCGGTTTCCAGATCACTTACACTTTCCACCAGGAAAGGGGAAATACCGCCAGTGAGCGCGCGATTGCGCAGATTTGGACAAGTTCACGTCGACCCGCAGCCCCGAGAAGATCTCACACGAACCTGCCCTGCAACTTTTGGCCAGCCTTTCGAACGCCTTTCGTACTGGCCCAACGCAGTCGCGGGTCAAGCAGATCAAACTATCGGTCAAGCGAGCACGTCTTTCGCGTTTCGGCGGTGATTTCTTTTTCGTACCGCTTACTAATGAAGTCTACTGTATGCTCGAAAACTTGTTATCCGCATTATATAATGTTAATGTTCTTAATTCACTCCGGATCTGGGCCATATATTACGCGATGTATGTCAGATGCCAAACGCCAAACGCCAAACAGTTTAACCAGTTTGCCACTTTGGCCTTGCCGTGCTCCATGCTCTATGCTCCATGCATATTCACCGATGATCCACCCTGACGTCCAAAGCTCATCATCACCATCACAGATTCTAAATGGCTTTATTTTCCTCCTTTCCTGTCGCATGGCCAAATTTTAATTGCTGTTTAGTCCGCACCAATATTTGGCTAGCGAAGCCAAGCTGACACACATATATGATTAAAATGGGCCAATAATTGGCTTACGCGACTCAGCTCGGTTCTCAGAGGCCTCTGGACAAACAGCCATTACCGCATACCATACCGCAAGACCTGTGCCTTGCCCCAGCGACCCGAAAATATGTACATATGTTTACAGTTTGTTACTGTTGTCTCTGACGAATATTGGGTTTTCACACCCAGCGTAAAGTTGAAATGAGTTGTGTCTAATTTTGTTTAGTGGCGGCAACTAAAATTGTTTGCCATCTGTCCGCCGAAAGACAACGACACCAACACCAGCTCCAACTCCAGCTGTGACACCAGCTCAGACTCTGCGATGTCAAAAACCTCGCGGCGAAGGCTTCACATGGTGGCCACTTGTGGCAACATAGCTGAAGGTCAAACCGGGCCATCATGCATCATTGCATTGTGGCTGAATCACCAACCCCGAAGTCAAGGGGATTTTTTTTTATTGTGACCAGTTTTAAATATACAAATACAAACTCCCGATCGTTCAGGAAGGATAACCTGTTCCAATAGTTTAAATTCGGACACATTCGCCGAATCATACGAAAGACATTGATTCGTTGTGCAAATTTTCCATACGAGAACGGATTCTACGCCTTGAGTGCTATTCGCTAATATAATTTCGGGATTTGTACAATTTAATATTAAAAATCGATTTTTTTGGCATAAAAGTTAAAAAATGTTGCAAATTGTTTCGAAATAGATCGGAATTTTATAAATTTTACGAAAAATTTTAACCATCAGATATAATATGATTTTTGGGATATGAGTTCACGGCTAAAAAACAGAAAATCTTGGTTTTTTTTTTCCAATTAACTGAAAATTTGCAGTCACGTTTGAGCGTCTGAATCTCAGTGGAATCATCATCATGTTCGAATGGAACTGTGGTATAAAATACTTTAGTTGGTTCCTAATTGGGAATTTCCATACAAAAAATAGAGATGGGTGGCATAAAGAGCCCCTGGGAGCTGTTCGATGTTTGGATTTGACTGTATCCTTATATATGGGATATAATTTTTGTAGCATACTCATGAGAAATATATCCTGAAATGAGATCCTAACACTATCACAGGAAAAGACGAAACCTGTTCTATATCACGTTTTCCAAAAAGAAAAACAAAGTAGACTGTAAACGCACTAGACACCGAATACGACGTGAGTGTGCGGACTTAATTACTTTCAATATCAATCAACATAATACGAGAGTTTATTTTCAACACGTGCCCACTAAAGAGTCATAAAGCTACAATATCCGTCGAGCCATTTGCTGAATGGGAACGTTTTAATCGTAGACTACACACCCTCCAAAAAAGGTGCCATTCATCGCGAGAAATCAGTGCGATTAATTGTTATAATTTATAATTTAATTTAACTCATTTCCGAGTCCGATTCAGCTTCAAGCATGAGTGGCATTTTGACGAACGGGTTGCCGTACTAAATAAAAGTGTACGTGAGCTTCATCCAATAGAATTGCCATTAACAGAGGCAAATATTGAATACATTAGACTTGAATACAAATTTTGCTAACGTAAATATGTATTTGTTCTTAAGAAAACCAGACGGCAATGCTTCAATCCCATCAGCTATTGATACAATATTTATACCAACTTCGAAATATGATGCAGGATCAACAAATATTATAGACAATAAGGAATTAATTATGTTTATAATGATAGTTTCGGTGTAGTTATACTATACTGTATTATGTATACATACAAATATACACTATTATGTACTCATAGATGGTATTTGCAAAAGGAAAACCCCTCTAATTTTCGCGGAAATTTAACGTTTGTGGTAATATTTCCTGTACTAAAAGTCACATATAGCGAAGAAAATAAAAACAAAAGTGCACTCTGTGTGGTTATTTGGTTTATTTATATTTGTTTCCATATTGAGTAAGAGGTTCGAAGAGGAGGAAAGAAGGAAAGGCAGTCCTCCCATCTTGGCTCCGATATTGCCCGATCTCTGAGTTGCTTCCCACTGTGCGCTGCAGTTTTCAAAAATGAACAGCCAAGGGCCAGAATGCATCTCAATCCGATATCTTCTTCGAAAATTGCATCTGTGTAATTGTGAGAAAAAACAGTTGGCTAAACGGCTGTCATTGAGACTCTGCGGCTAAAATGACACACATGACTTGCAAAGTGGCAGTGGCATCTCGGAATGGGACAGGGATCTGTGTGTCGTGTCTGAGTGCTGCTGTCAAGGCCACGCCGTGTTCTTGGGGGGTTCTTGAATAACCACAATTACACAATTAAGTGCGAGTGGGACTGCGACTACGAGTGTGAGCGTCTTGAGCAGTTTTGCTGGCTGTATCACTGCCTGTGGCCTGCTGGCTAACCAAGCATGGCCCTAACCTTTTGGCCGTAGCCAACGAACTTCGTCGCAACGAACTTAAACTAAATTTCACTATGAGCTGATGTGATGTGATGCCCGAACTAATTGCAGCTAATTGAAATGCACGCCTGCGACTCTTTCGAAATTGTTGTTGAAGTGTCTGTGACTCAAGTGAAGTGACAGGCTCCGTGCCGGAGGCAAAGTCAAACGGTTTCAAGTGCAAAGTGCGTGAAAAATCGAATCATTGTGGCTCTGCTCCTCCAGCTCCAGGTGCGTTCGATCGCTTTAACCAAATATTTATGCAAACGCCAAATGTGCCACAGGAAGAACGCAATGTCACGTCAACATTCGCATCAAATGTGCCATGAAAAATAAAAACAAACTCAAACTCAAACAAAAGCCTCATTACATTTCCGTTACTGCGTACCCACTCTCAGATACAGATACAGCGACAGGCACACACACAGATAAAGATGGGGGCTCGGATAAGGAGAACGGCCTAAATGGATTCTCAGGGCAACACGGGATGTAGGTATGTACATACTATATAGACTTTGCAATACCCAAAGGTATCGGCTATCTCAATGTCACTTGTCACAACCCAACAACGAAATCTGCATAAAATCTAATCGAATAAATTTGTTTCGAATGAGAATTTCACTCAGCACACGCCCCTGTCGGACCTGTGACTGTGTCCGTTGGCCGCTTTGCGATTCTCAGACCGTTCATTTGGCCAATTCATCAAACATTGCTTTTACGACTTTGAGGTGCTTGTCGACTAGAGTACGAGTACTCGTACAACCCAAATCCATTAGGGTTTAACGCAAGATAATAAAACTGTACAGCTATTCATAGACAATTCTTGCGGCATTAACACTAACTCAATAGGTTTGTGGGTGTTGGTGAATTTAGTGAAATGTTGGTAAGGAGGTGAGGGTTGATTGACGTCTCTTCTACTAAGATAATTTACTTTGTGGAAGAGTATTAGTTCGCTTATAGGATAGGGAATTTTTACATTCAAAGTCTTTTCCGTAATATTTAATTTTCTCATCTATTATCTTTTGAATATTCAAAAGAAAATGAAACTTGCCAGTTGATGAGCGGTGAAGGCTGAGCGATGTCTCGCTTAGAATAACTTATGTTTCTGCTGGAACATAAACACAATGTTTATGGCCCATTACAACTAATTAACACAAGTGTTTCCCAACAGAAACGCAGCAGCCCAACGACAAAGTAACGAAATTTGTGGCAGGAGCTCGTGAGGCACTCGCAGAGCATTACCCGTTCGATATCGAAAAACGGGAAACTTTTCATTCTTCGAAAGATAATCCGAAACAATGCAAAACATTGATAAGCCATAAACCGAAATGAAGTCGAAATGCTGGACAAATTAGCAAATCGCTCACGTGCCTGTGACTTTTTCTGCTCGACAACACCCGAAATATTTCTACGAACACAACTCGGACGCGGACGCGGACTCTGATTTTCTATTTTGGCGGTGGAGGTGGCGCTGGCCCAGCGGGCATAGCATTTCCGTATGCCTGGAGTCGAAGATTCTCGGCGTGTCCGGCGAAGTTGGCTGGCTAAGAACTCGTCACCATATGCTCGCTTCTTTTCATTAACAACTTGATC